TGTAAGTTTCAAGTCAAAAGGTAAAATGGTTTTCCACTTATCGTGTTATCAGTGCTGCATATATGCTGAAAAAAGTGAAAAAACAGCATAAATTCCCTAAAAGTGACCTGATCATGCTGATTTTCGAACTTGACCTGCGTATTATGAATATTCATCAGTTCTGTAAGTTTCATACCAAAAGAAAAAACAGTTTTCCATTTATCGTGTTATCGGTAAAAGTGCACGGCGACGGCGACGGCGACGGCGACGACAGACGCAGATGATGGCTATATGTACAGACACATCTGTGTCTGTACATAAAAAGAGAAGAAAAAAAAGATAAATTCTGCCAAGGGAATTGCTGCTCATTGGGTCTATTTTTTTCCAATGACAGATTATATATATATATATATATATATATATATATATATATATATATATATATATATATATATATATCGAAGAATAAAGTCAATACACTATATGGGTAGAGCACTTTTTCATAGTGTATTGTTCAATCTTTTGGTGCCAAACAAAAGTCAAAAAGGTTCTAACACCCCATTTCCATAGATTAGATCGACCTACTTTAGATCGACCGAACTCCCTGGGGGTTCACGCTAAATAGCTGTCAGCCGGGCGGACACGAAAGTTAATTACCCTCTTACAGCTTGTAGTAGGCGGGACGGACATTTAAGTCGGATTATCTGAAAGTAATTTAGTGAGACTCCCCGTGGGGATAGATCGATCTAAAATCTATGGGAATAGAGCCTAAGAAGCAATGATGTCTGTGATGTTCCATTCCAGGCCATACATTCTGCTTGACAACAGCATGAAGTACATAACGTTAATATGACAGCTGGGGTCACGTTATCAATTAAATACACTTTAAATATTCTCACGGCATTCCAACAGCGTTCGAAACATTCTGATCAGTTACCATTCCAGTGGTGTTTTTTATACACTCTGGGCATCGTGTTACATTCTAAACATGTTGGAAAGTAATTTTAAGTATTTTAGGTATTTCAGCTGCATTCTGTTTGAATTCTTTGTAATTCAAACCTTCATTGGCAGCCATACCGGGAGCATTTTGACTGCATTTGAGTTCGCTTTGTATATCATTCAAGGCACCTTCTTACATACTTCAGCCTGTATTCGGCCAGCAGTCAAACCACACTCATACGGCATTTGAATTCCATACGGAATATTCTGACTGCATTTTAACAATATTTGCAATATTCCCTCCCGATTATGGCAAAAATTTTCAATTAATTTATTCCGACTGGTTCTGCTTGATTCCTGCTGGTTACGGATAAGTGTGACGGGGGCCTTAAGTCACGTGCCAGTTCGAATATCCCTCAAATG